CATATGGTGCTGTTTGTGCTGGATGAGGCCGATGAAATGCTTTCTCGGGGTTTCAAAGCACAAATACTTTCTGTGTTTCAACATCTCCCACAAGATGTTCAAGTTGCTCTCTTCAGTGCCACCATGCCGTCAGATATATTAGAGCTTACCACGCAATTCATGAGGAAACCCAGAAGAATCCTCGTAAAAAAAGATGAATTAACACTTGAGGGTATTGCACAATATTATATTGATGTGCAAAGAGAAGAAAATAAATTCGATACTCTCGTTGATCTATATGAAACACTCACCATCACCCAGGTGCGTATACACCCCAATTCAGCTTTCTTTTGCAAATTCAACTTCAGGTGTATAGGCAGCTCGATCGTGCGCGGTTTCTGCTGAATTTCTGTGGTTTTTTCGCGGGGAAAGCTGTATTTTTTTCGGTATTTATGTTTTATTTTTGTTTTTTTTTACAGGCTATTATTTACTGCAACACGCGAAGACGCGTGCTGCAGCTGGTGGAGATGATGACGGGTCAGGATTTCACAGTTTCAGCTATGCACGGTGACATGGAGCAGCAGCAGCGTGAGACAGTGTTACGTGAGTTTCGTAGCGGTTCAACTCGTGTATTGATTACAACAGATTTATTAGCGAGAGGTATTGATGTGCAACAGGTTTCTTTGGTTATTAACTATGATATTCCTATATCTAAAGAAAACTATATTCATAGGATCGGTAGAAGTGGACGTTTCGGGCGTAAAGGTATCGCCATCAACTTCGTTACCGTCAACGATATGGATCAGCTGAAAGAGATAGAAACCCACTACAACACACAAATTCAAGAAATGCCAGCTAAGCTGGAGACCAAGTAAACAAATAAAACCACACAACAACAACAACAACAATTCAGCAACAATACACCAGTGTTCAGAACCTGCTGCTGTTGATAGAACACAGGAGGAGAGAGAGATAGCGCAGCAGCAGCGGGGGATAGAAACGCATACACATACATGTATTCAAAGCAAAGCAAAGAAGACAGAGTCAACAGGAGAAGAACAAAACACAACGCCGGCTGATATCTGTCTTCTTTCACAGAGTAGGGTAGCCCGACCCCGAACACATTGGACGTTGCATATACACCGCGCATAGCAGCAGCAGCAGCAGCAGCAGCAGCAGCAGC